CTTCCACTGCTTGAGGTTCTCCTCGACGCAAGCTACCATAGCATCGATCATCAACTGAGGGAAAACAAGAAGGAAAACATTCAGAAGCTGAAGAAACTAAAAGTTTTGAAACCTTGAGCTTCTCGCTGTGGAAAGCCAAAGAGACCATCTTTCGCTTTTGAAACCATCTCTTGTTCATAGTCAGCAACGGAATCCCATATCCCTGGCGGCATGCTGGCCGGGTTCTCTGTCAAAGCTCCCACTTTTGTCGCAAAGCACTTCTTTTATCAGCTCTGGATCGCTTATCATCAGCCTTGGCTGTGATCCCAGCCAAACCAAAAACGTTTCGCATGTTCAAAGATTCATCGAGCTTCAATCATCACGAACGATTCCACGAAGACTGGGAAAAGATCGATCTCGTACCGTATGATCTGGACCACGCTGCATAGTAGGGAATAACTTTCGCCACAACGCCAGCATGATTGTCGTTGCTAATCTCGCCAGTGGAACTCTTGGCAACTTCTACTGCCATGAGCTCGCGCATTTGATCCAAGTTTCCGAGGAACAAGCGTGGGATCGGTCCCAAGACGCCTTGCTGCTTGAAAGCCTGGAGGAGGAGCCGAGACCTCCACAGGAAGTCGCGAGCCCATTGCCAAACACATATGGTTGCTGCCAGAGAGATCCCTGCTGTGACAACATTCCAGATTAGATCCATTCCTCGTAGAAAGGAAAGAGGAGAGAATTAAAATTAAAAAGTCTGACGTTAGCTTGTTCAAAACCTGCTAAAGAAACGTATCTGCGTGATGGGAAGTCGCAAGCAACGAGGATCTCGTACAAAAGAAAGGTAGTGCCGTGGACTTCAAAGAGAGATAGGCCCCATTGAGCTGATATTTCTATGATCCGGAAAACGACGCGCCAAAGAGTAGAGAGTCCTCATTCCCGCCAATAGCTTTCGAAATTTAGGGCTCTTGGTGGCGGGGGCGGTTATAGGAATTACCATGGCTGCTGGAACATTTCCATTTATTGATCATGAATATGTCATGGACCAAGAGTTTGGTGGAATGATTGATGAGAAGCAATATGCTCAGATCATAAGCTAGTGTGAGCAAATATAAAGGGTGTTACTTAATCTTGATTTGTTTTTCAGAGAGAAGAAAATAAGTCTTTACCAGATTTTCATTTGAAATAAAAAGCTAAAATAAATTTATGGCTTATCTATAATTTTGCATAGCTCCAATGTACAGCAAAAGGTAAAGGATGGAAATGAATTTTTTTTTCCTTTTGCCCCCTTTTCTTATAATCTTCCTAATTTGTAGTTAAATCAGTATTGAAAACATAACCTTGATTTGTTAAAAGGTAACACAAATTTATATTTCTTTAACCAATTACGTACTGTTCGTCAAAGTTTGGAAAATGTTATTGTTCTTTGAAGACTTTCACTGGTTTGCCAGGAGATTCATCGGCATGCCAAACTTTGGCTGCAAAGTTAGCACCTGAAATGGCGAGTGGACGTAAGTTTCCGAGAGCTCAAACGTGAACTTGCGTAGGATCATCGCAAGAATGATCTTCGTCTCGATTATGGCGAAGCTCTGTCCCACGCAAGTTCGCGGCCCCACCGAGAACGGCAAGAACGGCCTTTGCTGTTGGGAGACGAACCTATTTGGATTGAAGCTCTTGGCATCTCCCCCCCAGAACTTCTCGTTGTAGTTTATGACGATCAGAGGCACGAGTAGCAGAGTTCCTTTTGGGATGACGAGTTCTTTGAGCTTGACCTTGTTGTGTGTGTAGCGATTTAGCAAAGGAACCGGGGGGTACATTCTAAGAGCCTCGTTGATCACCATTGTCATCTGGAGCAAAAGAAAGAAAGAGTTTTACAAAATAACAAGATAATAGAGGAATGGCAAGTTTACGGATTTGAGATTGCCGAGCATCTCCAAAGTGTTTGGAGCGGAGACTTGTCCACAAACTTGACAAACTTCTTGACGTAGCCGAGTCTGCCAGTCGGGATTGAGTGCCAAAAGCAGCATCGTCCACGCTAGTAGAGCTGCCGACGTTTCTTGGCCCGTGAAAAAGAAAGTCTTGCACTCGTCGATCACGTCCTGCATCGTCACCTGGATGTCCAGCTTCTTACCGTTGTTAAAATCCAAAACTCCATCTTTTGCAGCCAGCATCAATCCCAAGAGATCCTTCCCGTATGATCCACTGACACTCGACTCCTTCAATCGGTTTACGACGATTTGTCGAAGCTTGCTGTCGATTTGTTGCTTTAAAGTCCACCTGCGTCGATTGGTGGACGTTGGAAGAAATCTAAAGAAGCGCTTACGTTTATCAAGAAGGCGTATAGAACGAAGAGAAAGAGACAAAAACCGCACCTAAAACCAGGGAGATGAACTTGACCTTGCCACTCCAAGTGAATGTATTGCTGCTCGATTTGCATCTCGAAAACTTCCTTTCCTGCCGCGTAGCTCGTCCCAAAAGCCGTCCGGCACAAAACATCCTGTGTGATGCCTCGGAGCTTTGACGCAACATCCACCGGTCCCTCGGTGGTTTTCCACTGCTTGAGGTTCTCCTCGACGCAAGCTACCATAGCATCGATCATCAACTGCAAATGAAAACATTTAGAAGCTTGGTGGAGAAAGAAAAATGAAAACTTTCAAAATAGAGAGAGTTAATCACTTTGAGCTTCTCGTTGTGGAAAGCCAAAGAGACCATCTTTCGCTTTTGGGACCATCTCTCGTTCATAGTCAGCAACGCGATCCCATCCCCAAACAAATCCCTGGCAGCATGCTGGCCGGGATCCCTGTCAAGACTCCCACTTTTGTCGCAAAGCACTTCTTTCATCAGCTCTGGATCGCTTATCATCAGCCTTGGCTGTGATCCCCACCACACCAAAAACGTTTGACCTGCGTACACATTCCGCGAGCTTCAATCATCCACAAAAACTGGGAAAACGATCGATTTCGTACCGTATGATCTGGACCACGCTGCATAGTAAGGAAGGACTTTCGCCACAACGCCACCATGATTGTCGTCTCTAATTTCGCCAGTGGAACTCTTGGCAACTTCGACTGCCATGAGCTCGCGTACTTGATCCAAGTTCCCGAGGAACAAGCGTGGAACCGGTCCCAGGACGCCTTGCTGCTTGAAAGCCTGGAGGAGCCGCCGAGGCCTCCAAAGAAAATCGCGAGCCAGTTGCCAAACACATATCGTTGCTATCAGAGAGACCCCTGCTGTGACAACATTCCAGATGAGATCCATTCCTCCGCGAGAAGAAACTAAAGAATTCTTCTACGCCTTCTACCGCGGGAATAGGAAGAAAAAAGAAACAGTACCAGTTCTTACATTTCTCTGCGCGATGGAAGTCGCAAGGATCTCGTACATAAAAAAGGTAGTGCTGTGGACTTATATGGGCCCCTTGTGAGCTGAATTTTCTATGCCACGGAAAACGACGCGCCACCGTGTTAGATTAAATAGTAGGCAGCGGGCAGCGATTGAAGCACCGATCCATCTTACCAGCCAGCCATAAAGCGGAACTTTAGGATCTTCGATTTCCCGCCAATAGCTCTCGAAATTGAGGGCTCTTTGGAAACTTGGTTTAAACACTTGGGATATCTTTGGGTAGTTTCCAAGGTAAGGAAGTGATCCTCTGTGGTATAAAACTTTGGGGGCGGGACTAGAAAACACCATGGCTGCTGAAGTTCCCCTTGTTGATGATGAGTATGTCATGGAAATCGAGGAGGCCAGGCAAGAGCTCCGTGGAATGATTGTTGAGAAGCAATGTGCTCCGATCATGCTAAGGCTAGCGTAAGTGAATATATGGAGCTTGGTTTATTTGTATGATCTTGAAACATTTTTTTCTTTAAGGTGGCATGATGCAGGAACCTATGATCGGGAAACAAAAACAGGAGGTCCAAATGGATCAATTCGACTAGAGGGTGAATATAATCATTTTGCAAATAGGGGCATTAAGGCTGCTATTGATCTTTGTGGTGAGTAGAGTTTACTTTTGGCTGAATTCTGCGGTAATCATGATTTATTTTTTCTAGAGGAAATCAAAGAGAAGTGCCCCAAAATAAGCTATGCAGATCTTTACCAGGTTTGCATATTGAAATAAAAAGATAAATAATGTATCTGGCTCATATATATGTTGTTTGGATAATTAGCTAGCAGGAGTTACAGCAGTGGAAGTCACTGGAGGACCAACAATCAATTTTGTTTCAGGAAGAAAAGTATGGTAAAACATTAATCTTTGAACACCATGCATTTTCTTTTTTTTCTTACAGGATTCTTCAGTAATACCCCCTGAAGGGCGTTTACCAGATGCTTCTCAAGGTCATTGATAATTTCTAAATACTTTTCTTATTGATATGATAATTTTCATTTATGATCTCTAAATTTGCAATTTAGGTGCAAATCACTTGAGAGATGTTTTTGGTAGGATGGGCTTAAATGACAAAGATATAGTTGCATTATCTGGTGGTCATACACTGGTGAGACCTTTGGGATTTATAAAGTTTTTTTTAAAGACATTTTTGGCAGGGAAGAGCTCACAAGGACAGATCAGGATTTGATGGACCATGGACATCAAATCCTCTGACCTTTGACAATTCTTATTTCATGTATAAGTCTTTCTTCCTGTTCAAGTCTTTTTTTTTACCATTTTTTTTTTCTTCTATCCCATGTGAATAGTGAGCTGATTGAAGGAGAAAAAACTGGACTTTTAAAGCTACCAACAGATACGTGTTTGATGGATGACAAAGTATTTCGTCAATATGTTGAAACTTATGCCAAGGTAATCGATCACAAGGTTTGTGGAGATGATTATAATAATTTCGAGAGCAGGATAAAGACACATTTTTCCGTGATTATGCGTGGTCTCATAAGAAATTATCTGAGCTCGGTTTCATCGATCACCCAGATGAAACCCAAGAGAACACATATGATAGCTCATTCACATCAATCACCATATTAATTGGAGTGGTGATCACAGCAGCAGCAGTGGGTTTAGTTGCAATGATATGGTCATGAAATAAACTAGTATAAATTAGTATAGATTTGTGTTTGTATGGATGGATGGTTTTCTGATCCTCGTTTTGATGATTCTTTCTTTGGTCAGCTAGATGGAACTCTCGAGTGATGATCCATCGTCTTCATTCTTCTTCGTATTTCGTGGCTTTCTTTCCACATTCCAGCCGCGGCATACGTGTTTGCCATGAGCGAGTAAGCTGCCGAATCCTCGCTGTCTAGCTCCACCACTGCCTCAAACGCGATCCTGGCCACTTCCACATCCTTCCACTTCCAAGCGGCCGCTAGCACCGTCATCCATATCACCCTGTCCGCTCTAATAGGCATCGCTTCCACCATAGCCAGCGCTTCCCGGAGATGGTTCTTCCTCCCGAGAAGATCGACCATGCAAGTGTAGTGCCCAAGTCCGGGAGCCACGCCAAAGCTGCTAGACGAGGAGCGCATCTTCTCAAAGATCTCCCTCCCTTTGTCGACGAGCCCCGCGTGGTTGCATGCGTTGAGCACGCAGAGAAGCGTCACTCCATCTGGTTGTAGAGAACTAGAAGCTTGCATCCTCTCGAACAGGGAGAAAACTTTCCCGGTGTCGCCGTGGTAGCCATAGCCTGCGATGAGAGCGTTCCACGCTACCAAGTTCTTTCGAGACATGGCTTCGAAGACTTGCTCGCTCTCGGCCATGCTCCCACACTTCGCGTAGAAATCCACCAGAGAACTCGCGACAAGCTCGTCACTCTCGAGTCCCGCCTTGCGACTTTCAGCATGGATTTCTCTCCCGGTTTCCAGTGCCGCGAGAGTGGTGCAAGCCTTCACTACCGCAGCGTAAGTTCTAGCATCCGGCAGTAGCGATCGTTGCTCTTTCATTCTGGAGAAAAGCTCGAGAGCCAAGCTTGCTTCGTCACGACTCTGAGCATAACCTGTGATCATCAAGTTCCAAGCTGCCAAGTCCGGTTGCTTCATCCTGTTGAAAACTTTAAGAGCGTCTCCCACACTCCCACACTTCACGTACATCTCGAGCAGACCATTTGCAACGAAGAGATCGTCCTCGTGCCCGCCTTGCAGAACTTGAGCGTGGAGAGCAGCACCTTTGTCCAGGCACCAAGCTCTCAAAGAAGCATCAATCTTCTCCTTCTCGGCCATTTTCTCTCCACTTCCACTCACAGCCTCGGAGCAAGCCTTGAGAGCAACAACAAAAGTTCTAGCATCCGGTTCCAATCCTTCTTCGCTTTGCATGCGCTCAAAGAGCTCCAATGCAAGCTCGCTCTTCCCACTCTTCGCGTATCCCAGAATCAATGCCGTCCACGAGATGAGATCTCGCTGCTTCATCCTATCAAACACCCTCTTCGCGTCGTCCATCCTTCCAAAGTTGGCGTACATATCCACTAGAGCGTTTGCCACCAAAGTTTGCGATTCATAGTCACCAAGCCGAGAGTGTATCGCTGTTCCGGCGCTCACAAACTTTGCCTGCTCCTCCGGTTTAGCTCGAAAACCTGCACAGCAGGCCTTTATCCCGGCAACGTAAGCTCGAGCGTCGGGTTTCAAACCATCTTCTTCTTGCATCCGAGCGAAGCATTCCAACGCTAGATTTGTTTCTCCACTGTGAACATATCCCAGAATCAGAGCACTCCATGAGATCACATCCCTGTTGTTCATTCTTTCGAGGACCTGGCGAGCTTCTTCCGGCCTCCCACACTTTGCAAATATATCCACGAGCGAGCTGCCGATAAAAGCATCGCAAGAAAAATCATCCTTCTCGGCTTGCGATTGAATTTCTCGAGCCTTTTCTAGACACCTGTTCCTGTTTTGTAAATCCACTCCTTCGTCTCCTTCTCTTTGGTGGCTTCCACAAGAAAGCTCAGCGCAAGCCTTGAGTGCTGCAACGTAAGTTCGAGCATTTGCTTTCAAGCCTTGTTCTTGTCTTTTTTCTCGTTGTTTCAGCCTGTCAAAGAGCTCCAAAGCATGTCCCGGATCACTGCTCGAAGCATACTTCAGAATCATGATGTTCCACGAAACGATATCACGCTGTGGCATTCTATCGAAAACCTGTCGAGCTTCCGGCAAGCTCCCACACTCTCCATACATGTCGATCAGCGCGTTTGCAACGAAGATATCCGACTCGAATCCACCCGTTACTGCCTCCGAGTGGATCGCCCGACCTTTTTCCAAGCCAATTTCCTTCTCGTCTTCTCTTGCAAGTTGAGTGCAAGCCTTCGCAGCAGCAATCATCGTTCTCGCGTTTGGTCTTAGCTTCTCGGCCTTCATTCGTTCGTAGAGCTCTAGAGCCAAGCTAGCGTCACCACTTTGAGCGTATCCAGATATGAGCGTAGTCCACGAAACAACGTCGCGATTCGGGATTTTCTCAAACACCTTGCGTCCGCTGGCCAAGCTTCCACACTTCACGTAAGTGTCCACCAGAGCGTTCAACACGGCAGTGTCCGACTTGTGTGGAGACTTGAAGATAAGATCAGCTATGTGTTTGCATTCTTCCAAGCATTTTCTTCTCCCTGCAAGAGCAGCACAAGCCTTTAGCACCGATTGAAAAGTTTTCGAGTTTGGAACCAAACCGTCCTTTCGCATCTCGCCGAAGAGCTCCAGCGCAAGCTCGCCATCTCCACCCTGAGAAGCTCCCATGATCATGGAGTTCCACAAAACCACGTCCCGCTTCTCAATCCTCCGAAAGGCCCTGTAAGCGTCCTCCAAGCTCCCACACTTGGAGTACATCTCCACCAGGCTACTCGCAACAAAAACGTCCGCGCCGAGCTCCTCCTGTCCAACCCGAGAGTGTAGAAACATCCCTTTCTCCAAGGACACCGGCTTCACAAGTTTCCCGCTAAGTTCCATGGAGTTTTCTCTCGCAGCAGTATCGGCGCAGGCTCTCAAAGCCGCCACGAAAGTCCGAGCGTTGGGAGTGAGGCCTTGTTCTTCTTGCAGGAACGCGAAGAGCTCCAAAGCGAGCTCTCCATTTCCAGTTTGCACGTATCCCGACATGAGAGAAGTCCAGGAGATCACATCACGTCGCGGCATTCGATCGAAGACTCTCTGTGCTTCCAGCATGCTCCCACACTTGGCGTACATGTCTACGAGCGAGTTTGCCACGAAAACCTCCAGCTCTTCATCACTGTTCTTTGACTGATCGGCGTGGATGATCCGGCCAGCTCGCAAGTTTCTGGTTTTGCTGCATGCCTTGAGTGCTGCGAGAACGATTGAAATGCTCGGCTTCTCGCCCTTGTCACGCATTTTCGTGTAGATCCTGAGGACTTGGTAGTCTTTGTCTTTGGCTTCATGGCTCCTTCACAATGCATCCAAGATGAGAAAAGAGAAAGAGCAAGAGAAAAATGAGAGAGAAAGAGAGAAGAATACCTTGTTGATGGAAGGTCTTGCAATGGCGAAATTCTTCTTTGATTTGGGAAGAACCTTACAGCCATGTGGTTTGATCGAGATCACCGGGGAATACCATAGCGATGGAGCAAAGAAATCCCATGGATTCAGAGAATGAAAATGCTGCCAAGCGATTGCTCTCTCGCCTTGTTCTAGTGCTCCATCCAGCCCTAGAATTTTTTTGATCGTTTTCTAGGGTTTTTGGTAAATGGAATTGGAAGAGGTTGTAAGCGAGAGGTACAAGACGCCCGAGGCGATGGCGCTGCTCAACGTGGCGGAAATTCGCGAGAAAATCCGGGCACTGGGGCCGCGGCCCGATCCCCAGGAGGTTGAGGACGCGCGCCAGGCGCTCGCCGCGTCGAATGTGTCGCTCGCGCAAGCTCTGGAGTCGATCGCCTTGGAAGATCTTGAGGCTAAGGTATTGTATTTCCTCCAGGGCCAAGGGCAAAATTCTTTGTTTCGATCGATCAGGCTGAGGAGGAGAAGGCCGCGCGGGACGCCGCGGAGCGAGAGAGATTGCCGTTGAGGGCGATTCTCCAGCTTGATGAGCTCCATCGCTTGTACGGGAATTTGCTCAAGGATGCCGAGGCTCTTCTCGAGAAGAATTCTTCGGTTCCAGTGAAGGAAGAGGGGCAAGGGCAGAATCTTGCGGCAAGCCGGCTGCTAGACGAGGCCGCGGAGAAAAAATTGTCCGAGCTAAATCTTTGCAACCAGTCCCTCCAGTTGGTCCCGGAATCCATTGGGAGGATTTCTTCGCTGGTGGATCTCAACTTATCCACGAACCAGATCGAGGTAGAAGTTTCAGCTATTTTTTTGCCTTGGTTCTAGCTTAAGTTGTTTTGTTTTTTTCAGGTACTTCCAGATGCTATTGCTGGCCTGGCGAATCTCGAAAGGCTCCAGGTGCAGTCCAACCGTCTTCGAATTCTTCCAGACTCTATTGGCTTGATGAAGAACCTCAAGTACTTGAACTGCTCCAGGAACCAGCTAAAGCAGCTTCCAGAGAGGATTTCTGGATGCAGGTAAACTTTTCTCTTTTGTTTTAGATCAAATGACTAAGTTCGCGATTTTCAGTGCGTTGATCGAGCTCAATGCCGACTTTAACAAGATCGAGTATCTCCCCTCGAGCTTTGGACGAGGAATGGATTCCCTGGAGCGACTCTCTCTCCAACTCAACTCTCTCACGTACCTTCCACCGACGCTGTGCGAGGTAAAAACTCTCAAACACCTCGACCTTCACTTCAACAAGCTCAGATCACTCCCAAGAGCCATCGGCAACTTAACCCGCCTGGAAACTCTCGACGCCAGCAGTAACTTCAGCGATCTCACCGCTCTTCCAGAATCCATGGCCGACTTGGTCTCGCTCACACACCTCGACCTCCGCTACAACCAGATCCGCGAGCTCCCGCTCTCCTTCGGCAGGCTGACCAACATCAAAACACTGGAGCTGGACGAGAACCCACTCGTGGATCCGCCGCTGGAGATCGTCCAGCAGGGAACTCCAGCCACGATGAAGTACCTGGCCTATCGATTGGAAGCGAGCTTGCTCAAGGCCATTGAGGAGGAGAAGTTGCGAAGCTCCCAGCAGCCAAGCTCTCCTTCGTGGATTCCAGCGGCGGCGCAAGGATGGGTCTCTGGAGTTTACTCCAATATCACGAGCTATCTTACCAGTCCCAAAGCTAGCGGCAAAGAGGACTACCTGGAGCAGCAACTATGAGAGTGGACACGCGTCACAAATGTAGCTACACATAAGTGCTTTACATTGACTTATATATTGACTCTCGTTTACTTTGACTTTTCAGTGACTGGGTTGAGTTTCATTGACTTCCATTTAAAATTATGGCGGGAAATGAAGATGAAGGACTAGGGTTTATGGTTAGGGCAATGAAAAGGCAGAGGCCGCGCAAGGCGGCCACGGAAGGCCCGTCCCAGGTGAGCGATTGAGTGTACTGTTTGCGAAATTTCATGTCACGCCATGGCTAGCCAGGAATTTCGCTTGGATTGTGGAGAGGGCAGCACCCACAGCTTCTGGGGGCAGCAAGTCGAGCTTCCTGCTGGATCGCACATCGAAATCGGGAAGCAGCCATCCAATATCGTCGAGATTGCGCTTCCGCCCGATGTGAAGATCCCGCTGCACGAGATGACGCGCAGGTGCGAGCTGATCTTCAAGATGGTGGATGGCAGGCTTGTGATCCGCAGGCCGTGTATGTTTTCGTTTTCCCAGCTCGTCAGTGAGCTACTCGCGTATTCCAGGCGCAACCGGTGCTGTTCGTGCGACTACTGCGTGTCAAGCTCCTTCACTTGGTTCCGGTGTAGTGACGGACAACTGCTAGGCCCTGAGATCGCCATCTCCGAGAAACGCAGCTTCGATACGAGCAGTGAGTCGGCTATGAGCTCCGGCAAGATGGCTCTTGAGGGTGTGGGCATTCTCGTGCTCATCCAGTTCTACGAGTCGGAGGAGGATGCCAAGCGTGGAGTTACCTGGCAAGCCGAGCTCACGAAAGCTGCTACGTTCGGGTTTGTGGTCCCGGGCTCGGTTGTTCTGGTGGCATACTTGGATCATGAACAGGGGGCAGTGAAGATGGACAGACTTGAAGCTCCCAGATTCTTAGACATGACAGCTTACTCTCCGCGGCTGAGTGGCATGAGGTTCTATCCTGCGCACTTCCTCGGTAGTCTCTGGGCGGACCCTTTGCATGATCCAGCGCTGCTGGTAGCTCAAACGGATGAGCTACGAACTCGGCTGGTGGAAAGTATCAGTGAGGGGAGAACGCAAGTCGCGTATGAGATTGTGGTTCTGCTGGATAGTCTTGACTTTGTCGACCCTGTTCATGGCAACACTCCGCTGCTGGCTGCTTTGCAGTACCAGGCTCCTGATCTCGACTTGGTCAAGTTTCTGGTGGACAATGGTGCCAACGCCACGGGCAGAGGTATTCTTCCCAAAGTTGTTCAAAGACATACATAGTAAGGTTTTTCTCTTTTTCCAGCGAGAAGTGGAGTGTGGCCTTATCTCTACGCGGTGGTGAATGGCATGCAAGCTGTAATGGATGCCTTGGATGATAACGGCAATTCCCAGACTCATCTCAACAGTTTGGCACCCAAGGAGCTGTGCGAAACAGAGAATCCGGAGCTGCTTGAGATGCTTTTACGCCTCGGCTTATCTCCGAACAAGGCGTATGAAGGTATACTACCCCTCAACAATGCGCTATCTGGAAGGAACTGTATGGAGAGGCTGCAGCTCCTGCTGAAAGCTGGAGCAGATCCGACACTGCAAGATGGCCAGGGGAATTGTGCCTTGGGCCTTGTTGTGGACGACCAGCCTCCGGAGATTGTCCGCCTAGTGGCTCGTGTGTGCCAAGAGCGGAGCGTGATCGACACCAAAGTGGATCCCGTGAACACTGCTCTTGGTGTAGCGTGCCTGTTCGACGAGCCAGTGACTTGCAGTGTGCTGATGGAGTGTGGAGCTTCTCCCTTTGGTACATACTGCTATCCTCCACATGATCTGCAGACTGGCCTCAAGATGCTGTTTGCTCTCACAGACACACCACTGCCAGATTGTCTTAAGTAATATATTTGGTTATACCCTGCTTCAATTATCACGATATTATGCTACCAACGTTGTTTTCAAACGATATGGAATTTTTTTTGGACATTTTATATAAATGCCAATTGTGAACTGACCATATCAATCTCCATTGATCAATCCCAATTTCAAGTGCAAAACATAATTCTTACTTACTGAATCCATACTTCGACACTTGAAATCCCACATGAGATGATGATCCTCACTTGGAGGTTTCTCACATAAACAAACCTATCATTATATAAAACTTGGTATATTAGATGCTTCTTTATAACAGGATTACATATAGTATAATGTTATAACCTATTTAAAAATATATTGGAATCTCAAAAAAACATTTCAAGTAAATTATACTTATTATAAATATCTAAGTCATAAATGTTGAAATAAGTTATTTAAAAAGTATTAACTATATGTTACTGGTACATATAATACACTTCATTTCTCTCTTTTCAAGCTAAAAAAGGTAATTTCTTAATAAAAAAAGGGATTTCCATGGCAAAAGGAAAAAGAAATATAGTAAACTTCTCATAAACTAAATTTCCCAAACTCAATCTAATTGTTTTATATAATTTAAATTAGAAAGGCTGGTAAATAATTTATTTCATAAATTTCTAAGGACCTGTTTCTAGAAGTCTTTTTTCTATATTTGTAAAAATCAAAGTACATTAAATGATTTTATTTAATAATAATTTTTTATTGATATGTTAAAAAACAAAAATGAAAATGCATGTAGAGTTATGAAAGTAAAATACTTTTATCTATCTATTAATTTTAATTCAGTTGAATTTTTCTACAAATATTAAGAATGGAGATATGTTATTTTACTTTATAGTTTTGAACTCACAAAAAAATTTACTATATAGAAAATTTCTTTAGAAATGGTTGACTTTATACTTTAATTTAAACATGGATATCAATAATTACATTTAGAGAGCTAGACAAAACTTGACAATGTAATATGACAACATGGCATTAAAGTTCACAATTGTATTCAAATTAAAGTTTTTAATCTTAACTCATTTTCTTAGGCAAATTTCCTTATAAAAGTTTGCCCCAGGCAGTCTCTTCGTCTCAAGTAGAAATTAGTTCGCTCTTTGTCTTCTCCTGGTAAAATTTGGTTCTTCCTAGAGGACAAAATCTTCCATCACATTTCTTTCGTTTTGTTCTTCTTCTTTCTCTCCTTTCCAAATCTGGATCATGAGCTTCGACGGATGCACTCCCAGATGCTCGCCTCTGTCATCGCCGTGGCGCCGGCTTGGGGAAGAAGAGGAAGGAACTTCTTATCTGGAGCGATGGAGGGTAAGCTCAATTCCTCCAGTTGGCAGGAGCTTTCTTCACGTTTTTCTTTTCTTCTCGGGACAGCAAGCAACGCTGGTGATAAACGCCATCCAGCGCTTCAAATGCAATTCAGAGCAGTGTGTCCAGATGACCTCTCAAAGCTCGCCTAACTCTCCATCCAGAAAATTCAGGCTTGGAACGAATGTCATAAGAGTAAGCCTGTCATCATTTTGATCTTGACAATGTGCTCTCGTCACATGAACATGCTCAGGCTATATTTCGTTTTAAAGAAGCAGGCAAGTTAGCTGGAATCGACAGGAAAGAGTTAGTCACGCTTGTTGCTGATCACAACTTAGAGCTGCTAGAGCAGCTGGGAGGAGTAAGACAGATAGACAACTCAGCTTGATTCTCATTTTACTCCCCAGGTTGATGGATTGGCGAAAGCTCTTTCGACCAGCACAAAGAATGGGATCGAAGACGAGGTTCCAAAGATCGAAAGAAGGCGACTGCTGTATGGGAGCAACACTTATCCTCAGCAGTCGCCAAAAGGCTTCCTGGTATTGCTTGTTGATCTTATCTGAATGCGCAGGAGATCAATGTTTTGTTTTGCAGGCTTTTCTATGGGAGGCATGCCAAGATTTGACACTCGTTATTCTAGGTGTTTGTGCAGTCGTCTCGCTGGCTCTTGCCTTGGCTACAAAGGTAAAGTTTGTTCAAAGTTTAGCAACTAGTTTCCATTTGCGGCTTTTGTTACACTGTGTAGGCATCTTGGTATGATGGTGCAAGCATCGCTTTTACTGTGATTCTTGTCGTCTGCGTTACCGGTACAAGTGTTAAGTTGATACTATGTCGTCTTACATTATGCTCCTACCAGCTTGCAGTGATTACAAGCAATCGTTACAGTTCCAGCGCTTAAATGCCGAAAAACGGAAAATACACGTCGAGGTGAGGTGATCCAATTTGTTGTCTTACTTAGGGCTTTTACGCAGGTCTTGAGAGGAGGACGACGGATTGGAGTCTCCATTTTTGAGCTTGTAGTGGGCGATGTTGTACCGCTCAAAACTGGTGATCAGATACCTGCTGACGGCGTTCTGGTTGAGGGGTATTCGCTGGTGGTGGACGAGTCGAGCTTGACAGGCGAAAGCGACCCTGTAAGTGTCATTTGATTTGCTTTGAATCCATTCAAAGCTACTTTTTGTAGATGTCCAAAGGACTTGATCATCCATTTTTTATGTCTGGATGTAAAGTTGTGGATGGATACGGCACTATTCTGGTAAAGCATTCTTGATAAGCTCTCCTTATATATATTGCAATGTAGATCACTAGCGTTGGAATAAACACTGAATGGGGTCGAGCAATGGCAGCACTTACGGACGATATCAGTGACGAAGAAACGCCTTTACAAGTGAGTGATTTTCGACGTCAATAGGCACTTGTATTTGAAAAATTCTCGTATAGATGAGGCTTGCTGGAGCAGCGACTGTTATTGGAGCGATTGGTTTGGCGGTAGCAATCATTTGTTTCTCCATGCTGTTCATAAGGTTCGGAACTATTACTCAGTGTCATTCTTTCTGAACGTTTCAAGCAATGACAGGTACTTCGTTGAAGACTACAAGAAAGATAAGAAAGCTGTAGCGGTTTTCAAAAGAAATGTCAACATCCTCTCGGTTGCTGTAAGTGGTTGTTTACACACTCCTCGATTTCCATGACCACTTTCTTGCTGTTTTATCAATCGACACCTATCAACTTTGCATGGTTTTAATTGTTTTGGTTGTGATAGGTAACTATTCTAGTCGTTGCTGTTCCAGAAGGCCTTCCACTTGCCGTTACTCTGAGGTGAGTGCCTTTCATCGCTATCCTTGTTTTGATTTTCTATGTGGTGGATGTCTAGTCTTGCTTACTCTATGCGCAAGTTGATGACCCATAAATCGCTAGTACGCCATTTGGCTGCTTGCGAGACAATGGGATCCGCGACCACTATCTGTAGTGACAAGACAGGCACGCTTACGATGAACCAGGTATTTTTTATACCTGGTTTTTTCCACTCAGTCATATGATACCGATTCTAGATGACTGTAATCGAGTCCTGGGTTGCCGGGCAAACAAGAAGCTTCCACGAGATAAGAGGCCTTCCAGATGCAGTCACAAGCGTGATCTTTGACGGGGTTGCACACAATTCTGCTGGAAGTGTTTACTATACACTGGACGTAAGTTTTCCGGACATTTTTTTAGTCAACTGGAGTTGCTGACATCGGGGACAGAGAAATGGAGTTCCTGAGGTTGCCGGAAGTCCCACAGAAAAAGCTCTTCTTTCTTGGGGATTACAGGTATAGACAATGAGTACAAACGATTTATCTGATATGGTGATATGTGTGTTTGTGTTTTCTTAACAAAAGCTTGGCATGGACTATTCAACTGTTAGAGCTGCATCTTCTATAATAGCTGTTGAACCATTCAACTCAACGAAGAAAATGGCAGGAGTTGCAATTAAGGTATCAACAGTCATCTTGTTTATCTGATTCATAAGCCCATGCAGCGAAATAATGGAACGTTGTGTGCCCTCTGGAAAGGAGCAGCTGAGATTATTTTGGATCTTTGCGAGAACTGGCTGGATGGAGAAGGAACAGAGAAGGTATTATCTAGCGAGATGGTAAGCACATACGTAGATTGTGTACTCTCTAAAACCTTTTGCACAGGTAAGCTCAATCCACGGGACGTTAACTCATATGGCTGCTTCCACCTTGCGCTGTCTCGCATTCGCAATTAAAACATATAACTCCATGGATGGGAGGCCAATTCCAACGGCTGGCCTCACGTTTGTCGCCTTAGTCGGCATTAAGGTGACTCATATTCTTTCATTCATATACTAATATTTACAACATAAGACCAATGTACTAACGAAGTGGATTCTATGCATCACCTTTTTGTAGGATCCTTGCCGGCCTGGTGTGCGAGAAGCTGTTCGAAAATGTCAAGACGCAGGAGTGAAAGTATATTAATTTTTCCTTTTACCAACTTTCATGTTGGTTCTGATGTTGTCTTTAAGGTTCGAATGGTTACTGGTGACAATGTTTTGACGGCCAGGGCCATCGCGAGCGAGTGTGGCATCCTCATGCCTGGTGGATTAGTCTGCGAGGGGAGTTTTTTCAGAAACCTTACCGACAATGAAAGATTTCAAATTGTCCCAAAGATAGACGTAAGATCTGATGCTTACTTCCAATTGTGTTCACTGTGCTGGACGTCCTACGCAGGTTCTTGCAAGATCAACTCCATCTGATAAGCTTCTTCTGGTCAAAACCTTAAAGTCTCTCAATGAAATCGTTGCTGTCACGGGCGATGGCACAAACGATGCTCCTGCATTGCGCGAGGTTTGAGAAATATGATACTTCCTTTCATGCTCGTGTTGCTGATTTGTTTGTTCTAGGCACATATTGGGCTATCCATGGGAATTATAGGCACTGAAGTCGCAAAGGAAAGCTCAGACATTATTATTCTGGATGATAACTTTGCGTCGGTTGTCAAAGTAAGCTCTTTGTATTTTTTTTTATATCTTACAAGTAAAACATTTTATAAATGTGTAGGTGGTGCACTGGGGTCGTAGTGTTTACGAGAATATCCAAAAGTTTATACAGTTTCAACTCACAGTTAACCTTGCTGCCCTTTCGACTAATTTGGTAGCTGCTGGGAGATCTGAAAATGTACCACTTAACACTGTACAGGTTTGAAAATTTACTCAATTGTTTTCTTACAACCTTTTGACACTGTTTTTTAATCAGTTGCTATGGGTGAACCTGATAATGGACACGCTTGGGGCTTTAGCACTAGCAACAGAGCCTCCAACAGAAGAAATGATGGAAAGAGCTCCTATCGGACTAAGGTACAAAGCAAGCTTTGGAAGTCCGCGCGTTTTGCTCAATTCTTGATGTTTTCAAGCGAGCCGTTGGTCACAAATGTCATGTGGAGAAACATCTTTGGCCAGGTTGCGTTCTCGAACTCAAGTAGCTCCTTTTCGGTTAAATCCTTACACTATTTTCGGCAGGCTGCATATCAGGTTGCCGTGCTGCTGGTGCTGTATTTCAGAGGCGATCAGATATTACATTTGAAGGGAAGCCCGGCTCAAAAGATCGTACTACGAAACACGATCATTTTCAACTCTTTTGTGTTATGCCAGGTAGTTTAAAAATCCTCTATTCAGATGTGTTGATTTTGTGGATGCCAGGTTTTTAACGAAATCAACGCAAGGAAGCTCCAGAAACTCAATGTGCTCAAGGGAGTCTTTCAGAGTTATCTGTTTTGCACCGTCATAGGCGTTACTTCTGTGATCCAGGTTTTTTGTTGTCAAGCGTTTGCTATTTACTCAAAGAAGCCATGTTGATTGTAGATTGTGATCATCGAGTTCCTCGGCAAGTACTTCAAGACAACCCGACTTGTCATTCACTACTGGCTCCTGTGTGTTGGTATTGGCTTTCTAAGGTTCGTCATCGCGAAATATTACGAAGTTCTCAATTTTTTGTTGTGCTTTTCCTTTGTTGTCTCAGCATCCCTCTCGCTTGCCTCATGAAGCTTGTGCATGTCCCGAAGAAACCGATTTTCAATGCGAACTGGTCACGCCGACGTCGCAGACCACAACATCCAGGTAAAAAAATTCTCCCGTGGAATGGATCTTATAAGCTCGTTTGAATCAGGGACCGATACCAATGGAACTTGCTGGGAGTGGAAGAAATGGAATAAGAATCAAAGCAGAGGATTTGAGCATGCTGTACAAGTAGAGCAGTAGTAAGGTAAAGCTGGCTTTCAAGGAAAAGCTGTTCTTCTCATTCAGGAAAGATGGCGAAGTCATAGATCTATGGTTCCAGTTAAGTCGGGAAAGAACTCACAGGCAAAGAACGATGAGCAGTTCAAGAGATACCTCGAGCTCATCGAGTCGTCCAAGAGCTTGTCAAAGGCTTTGGCTGCGCACGCACACATCGGCGCGACCAAGGATACATTCCTCTCAAACAAGCTCATCCAAATGTATGGAAGGTGCGGTGGCCCAGACCAAGCTCGCAAGATCTTCGACACTTTGGGACTTCGGAGAAACACCTTTTCTTGGGAACTTATGTTCGCTGCTTACACCAAGAACAGGCGCCTGGGAGAAGCCAGAGAGCTCTTCGATCGAATGGAGAGACGGGACATAGTTTCGTGGACGACGCTCGTCACAGCTTATGCCCAGAACGGGCACGTCGATGATGCAAAGTTGGTGCTGGAAGCGATGCCTCGCCATGACACCGTCGTCTGGAACGTAGTTCTCGGGAGCTACGTCCAGAGCGATCGCATGGACGAGGCACAAGAGATCTTTGACGAGATGGGCGATGACCGAGACATTCTCTCCTGGAACGCGATGCTCGCGGGGTATTCGCGGAATGGAGAGGTGGAGATGGCCGAAGAGATCTTCGCCCGGATGCCACTGCGGAATAACAGGTCCTGGAACACGATGCTGGCTCTTTATTCCCAGGCCGGGTTTATAGAAGAACTTGAACTCCTTTTCTCGATCATGCCGGACAGTGACATGGTTTCTTACTCCACTGCAGTAGCAGCGTATTCACAGATGAGACTCGTGAAAGAAGCTAGTGCTCTCTTCTGGAAAATGCCAGTGTGGGATCTTGTCTCGTGGAACTCGGTGCTGTCGGCCTATGCTCAGAACGATCATATGGAAGAAGCCAGGGAGTTCTTCCGGTTGGAGCTCCCGGAATGGGATTTGATCTCGTGGAACACGCTGCTCTGCGGGGCTTCTCGATCCGGACGCTACGAGCTCGCTGTTGCGATCTTCCGCGAGATGCCGAGCCACAGTCTCGTCAGCTGGAACGCTCTCCTCGGCTGCTGCGAAGAACTGGAAGCCGCGAGGAAGATTTTCGAGACAATGATGCCGCAGTGGAGTGGGACCTCGGTGACGAGCATGGTGGCTGTTCTTATCCGGAGTGGCTGCTTCGAACAGGTACTGGAGCTCCTCGAGAAGATCCCGGAGAAGAGCTTAGTGGTGTGGAACTCGGTGCTGGCAATGCTCCGGGAAGATGGAAAGCTGAGAGAAGCCGAGATGGTGTTTGAGGAGACGGCGTGTGGGAACGTTTTCTCCTTCACGGCAATGGTGGCGGCCTATGCCGAGTCGGGGCATATCACTCAAGCGCAGCGGCTTTTCGAGGATCATATGCTCGAGCACGACTTCGTCTCGAGCTCCCTGATGATCGGTTCTCTCTCGCAAGCCGGGGACTTGGGCGCTGCCGAGAAGATCTTCGCGGGGATGCCGCTGCTGGACTCGGTAACTTGGAACGAGATGCTGGCAGCGTATGTTCATCATGGGCATGTCGAGAAGTCACGAGAGATCTTCAGCCAAGTGCCGCGAAAGGATCTTTGTTGCTGGAACTCGATGCTATCTGTCCTCCACAACTGCGACGAGGCCATGGATTTCTTCGAGAACTCAATGCCGGCGAGGGATATGATCTCTTGGAACACGCTTCTGGCGGCCTATGCCCGCGCTGGGAATACCAAAGAGGCAATACGGGTCTTCGAAGACATTCCGGAATGGAATCTCGTGTCCTGGAACTCGATCCTGGCCGTCCATCCCGATGCCCACAGGCTGTTTGTGCGGGAGGTTCCAGAGTATAATCTCGCCACCTTTAGCACCATGCTGACGTGGTATGCCCGGTCCGGGCATGTCGTCTCTGCGGTTGATCTCTTCCAGAAAATGCCCGAGAGAGATCTAACGGCGTGTAACAACATGGTGGCTGTGTACTCACAAGAAGGCCATGCGGAGGAGGCCCAGGAAATCTTTGATTCCATGCCATGTCACAGTTTAGCATCTTGGGCCGGCATTGGGAATATTTACGATTTCAGGAGAGCCAAGAAACTATACGAGAATATCCCAGAGCTAGATGTGTGCTTGTCCACAAGACTCTTTTCTTTATATGCTCTATGCAATGAGTTTGATGAGCTTGAGATGCTCTTTGAGAGGTTCTTACAAAAGAGTTTGGTTCTCTGGACTTCATTGTTAGTGGCGGTTTCTCAAGTTGGTGATTTGGATAGATGCGTGGGAATCTTTGCCAGAATGCCCGAGTGGGACTTGGTATCATCAACAGTCATGCTTGTGCTTTATGCCCAGAAAGGTTATCTTGAGGACGCTCTGGCTTTGTTTGCTTCTTTGCCTGAGAAAGATACCGTGTGCCACACTGCAATGCTCTCCACATATGCCCAACAAGATTGCATTGCGGAGGCCTGGCAAATCTTCTGGGATATTCCCCAGAGGAACTTGGTATCTTGGTGTGCGATGCTGGTAGCTTATTCTCAGAATGGGAATCTTGAACAAGCGTTCCATCTGTTTCAAATGATGCCAGAGCAAAACACTGTTTCTTGGAGTACAATGTTGGGTGCATATGCCCAGGGTGGCCATTCATCTCAAGCTTTCCAGCTGTTTTATGAGATGAATTTGAGTGAAATGCCATCAGAGTCATGCTTTGTGTCTCTTCTTCTAGCCTGTAGCCATACAGGCAAACAAAGCTTTGCCAAGCATTATATTGTATCCATGGCTGATGATTTTGGAATACGAGTTGGAGATAATGCTAAATGTTGCTTGATGGATCTCTTAGCTAGAAGTGGGAATTCAATGACAGAAATTACGTTTGTCCCCAATCACAAGAATGAGATTATTTGAGAGTGCATAAAATTGATAAAAGGTATACATTTCAATAGTTTATATACAAAAGTTTATCAAACTAGCTTTTAACAATGTGTTTTAATTAATGTTGTTTTAGAAATATAATATGGTTCCTCAATATTGTAATCTATAGTAATATGAATAAAACATTGTTGCTATAGATGGTAAGTAAAAAAATAAATAGAAATACTTAGTATCTAAATTATTGTGGATAGAATGGATAATTCATTACATCAGTGCAATAATTCCTTTCTAGTTTTATTCTTATCATTCATAATTTTTATAAAACATATTATTTTTATTTATCATTTAACAAACTTGAACTAAACATACAGTCTCCAAAAAAAAATCAAAGTAACTTTTAAACATGATAGATTTTATAATCCATTAACTTGGGTTGTGTTGGTAGTAGCAATTACCACACACACACACACACACAAATATGTGTATGTATGTATGTATGTATATTATCATCTATATAAGAATAAAATATACATATGTAAAAAAACACAAATTTATAATGGTCTCTTAGCTAGAAATAGTTGATTAATTTACTTATTTCATAAAAACATATTTAAAATTTCAATGAGTATACATTTAGGACATAAAAGGCATTAAAAGAACTTAAATTTCTTATCATCTTCAACTTTACAAGAATTTATGGTTAATTTATTTTTTATACAGTAAATATTTATTCAAAAATTATAGTGGTTTATTTTTATTGTGATATGAAAGTCATATACAAAATTGCTTTGATATTAAAGATATATATATATATATATATATTAACGATTAAAGTTCAAGCTCAAGATCTCCAATATGCACAGCTAAATTCACCTCATCCCATGCATATATATTTATACGACCATTGCTATAAAGGATGAAGAGTAGCTCTACTACACAACATAATTATAAATGGCAACATATGGCAATAGGCTAAGCAATAGAAGAAAAACTCAATCTTATATTAACTAACACATAAAGAATAATAAAAGGCCTTTTATTATAAAAATAAGTTATTAGATGAACTAGTGTTGAGTGAACCCCTTAATAATACAGTCGAAAGAAGTATAAAAAGGTCACCAATTTATTCATGTAAAAACCCTCAACAACTCATGTAATTCTTTATTTTTTGGAAGAATCTCTGTGTTAAGACCTTCCACTACAATACCACTAACAAAATGTTGTTGATGCCAAAATCTCCACTTAGGAAATGGAGGATATCAATCCAAAAAATATCAATAACACTTATATGTGTGGCCAATCTTATCATACACCTAGTAATAAACATTATGGCCACAACCATGTCCTTTCCCTTATCCTTAAACACAAATAGTAACCTCCATTAAAATAAAACCATTTCCCACAAAAAATAGAGATAAAGAACATATAACAAGAAGTGGAAGAGATGATGTCTTATAATGTTATGTCAATCGAAAAATATCGTTAAGGATGGTTGGAGCGAATGCATACACAAATCCTACAAGATCTTAATAAAGTGTTAGTCATAACATTTTTAACTTGATTTACTTTGACATATTTAACTCCATACGAAGTAAAAGGCTTCGGAAGTGAATGCTAAATTGCATCATTGACTCAAATGACGTTTGTTGAAGGTATTACAATAGAAAATATCATTATAATTGTTTATACATTTGACATTCCTTTCAAATACATGCTTAAAGATGTTTGGGAGAATGATCCAATCTGCATAAGTGGCTACACTAAAACTATTATACTATTGTAATGCCATCCCTTGAATACATGTGAGAAACTCATGTAAACACTGAATATCATCCCAAGAATGATAGAAAGCAATCATTGTAAAGTAATTGAATTAATTGTATACATCATCCCCAAGATTCCCACAGAAGAACTCTAATTAGATGTGAGGATTAGTAGTAAGAGAAAAAAAAGTTATACCATATGTTGTAAATGCCACTATTAATTGAGTTTGATTATTCAATTACAATTGCATAGTATTAAGCTACTATCAATTGTTGCTCTAGAGTCAAAAAAGGAAGAGGTTGTTGCTTTGTTATATAAAAAGGAAAAAAACAAAAGAGAAGATATTAAAAAAGCTATAACAAATAATAAAATTTAAATAATACAAAAGCTACATCTAAACTAATAGTTGAAATCCAAACACTCTTAATAGACGATCAAAGTTACCTTTCATCTCCACCAATATACATGGATTATGGAAATGGAATATAGAAATGTGTATATAAATTAACTTAAAAACCTTAGCTTATATATAGGAATGAGTGGTTTGAATAAAAATGATGTTTTAACTTGATTGTCTATGGATTTTCTTTCATATTATTTTATGATTCATAAAGTTTTACTTTTTATATTTTAACCATAATCAATATTTGTGTTAATGGTCGGTCTTCTAAAATATTTTTAGTTTTCTCCACTGTAATTTATATTTCTTAAATTATTATTTTTCTAATTTTATACAAGATGAAAAGATAAATTTATGAGATAAAAGTTTCTAGTCTTTACAAGTGTTATTTATTTAATATGAAAAATTTATATAGAATTTATTAAAAAAATATGAAAAATCTTCTTTGTTATTTTTTCTAATTTAAAATTAATTAATAAATTAGCATTATTGTCCTTATCACATTGCAATTAATTTAACTAATTTATCAGTATGTAAGCTCCAGAAATTACTATATATAACTCTTAATAATTTATGTAAAACTACTAGAATAATTTGTTGATGATGAGGGTGGAGACTAGCATGTGGGGCTGTAAAATAAATACAAATATTTTATTTAGCTAGTTTAGAAAGCAGTTGTCTCTCGCCTATTAAGTTAGTTAAACTGTCTATGGCCATTGGATTGAAAAATGTGCATGCCTATTAATTACAAGAATGGGCTCACCAAACTTGCACCTAACTCATCCATTCAGAGTAATAATAAGATGGCATAGGCCCTTAACCTATTTTTATGAGTTAAAAAGCTTGAGTTATCTGATGGCATGAAGAGTTTCCCAATGCTATGAATAAATTGCTACATGTTGCATGTAGCAACACCTGGTTTGCTTAATAGTAATTTTATTATTACTTATTAATCCAATTGATCAATTAAAGTTTATAATTATAAGCATGTTTGTAATTTATAAACACAAGATTAATTTTATTGCATATCAGCCATTAAATGATAGAATAAAAAATAATATACTAGAAAGGGTTTAAGAAAGTTTATAATTTATAAACATGTTTGTAAATTATAAATACAAGATTAATCTAAATGAATAAGATGGTAGAATATCCTAGAATATCCAAGCATATACAATCCCCTTAAGCAAACCTAAAATCACCAACTTAGCAAATGCAAAGGGAAAGCATATTCCTTTCACCTGGTGAGCAAATTTTTTGTAACTCACGAAAACTAGGTTGATTCTTTGTCATTTTTCTAGAATGAGTGATCTCATCAAAAAATAACATTGGGAGGATCTCAACTTATGCCACAAATCAGATCGAGGTAAAAGTTTCAGGTTTTTTTTGGTCTTATATTTGGTTGCTATCCAAGATGTCAGGAGGAGAATTTCTAAAGGCTTTATGTGCAGTCCAACCACCTTCTGCTTGATGGAGAAAGATTATGAACGAACGAAGATCAAATAACTACAAACAATAGCCCAAGAAAAACAATTGCACACTCTAAAGTAGAGCACGGGACCTTAATCTCACTCTTGAGCTCTGTTCCTTAAAATCGATTCGTTGCCACATATCGAATGAAAGATTAGAATCCAGACAAGTAGGAGAGATAGAAGAGAAACCAAAACCCGTGCTCAAGAGAAACATAAGAGGGAAAAGTAAAAACGGTCGCTTGAGAGAGTCTGGCCGCGATTTTCCTGCAAAGAAGAAGTGAAAGCTGCGAGAAAAAGAAAAACAAGGACTTGTTACCACGATCACGCCTTGTACAGCTTCATTCCCACCTCCATTCTCGCGAGCTGCGACCTCGCCTCCACTCCGTTCACCGAGGGCACCGAGACGACGGGTGCGGCGAGCTTTGCCACCGTCGGCGGCGCCTTCTTCTCCTCGGGATGATCCCGTGCAACCTTTGATCTCGCCGATGCGACCAAGGCCATTCCAAACCCGAAACCCAGAGCATCAGCAATGCGTTCCTGCCTCCACCCAGAGCACCGCGAGATCCAAAGAACTTCCCAGTGCCGCAGCCATACACCATTTTCAAGCGACCTCTTTAGTGGAATATTCTGGTATCATATTTTTTGATTTTGAAAAAAATAAAAATAAAAAAATTGCAAAACTTAATGGGTCGGAGTATGACTTATACTTCGAGACACACAGACGGGTCATCAGATGCATACTCTACAACCCAATAAGTATCAATCACCAGAATTCAGGGCTTTTTAAAGAGAAGAATCACAACGGCGTTTGGGCATGTGGGATGTTTGTGCTTTGCCCTAGACCTTGCGTTTAGGGCAGACTAAGGCAAGTTTAGTCCCTTATAATGCTGATTAAAGTTATATTTGGACTGTTCCGCAAAGATTTAAGGGTTAGGGTTCTTGCAAGACTTTCTGAGACATTTAGATAGATCAAAGTTTTACTTCGACGTCAACGCCAGCCGGGATGTCCAGTTGCATGAGCGCATCGATTGTTCGTGGGTTTGGATTCTTGATATCGATCAGTCTCTTGTGGGTTTTGATCTGGAAGTGTTCTCGCGAATCCTTGTCGACATGAGGCGATCGAAGCACGCAAAAAATCTTTCGCTCCGTGGGGAGTGGCACCGGACCCATGACCCCAGCTCCGGTGTTCTTGACGGCCTCCACGATCATCTTGGCAGCCTCCTCGATGTATTCCCCAAAGTAGGCCCGGAGCTTCACTCTAATCTTTTGCTGTGGCAGTGCCTGGAAAGAAAAGAAGAGAGATCAATCGTGAGCTTTGTCAGAGAGATTGGGGTCCGATCATTCTCTATCGGATGACCATCGTGAGAAGAAAACCAAGAAATCTCATCACCCAAGCTCAACTCTGGAAAGAAATTTCACCGATTTCACTCACCAGTGTCGCAGGCGCGGCTGGTTCTTCCGCGACTGGCGTTGCGATTGAAGGCTCTGCGTCAATGCTGCTCTCCTCAACTGGCTCTTCTACGGCCGATGTCGCGCGCGCTGGAAATCTCGATCGAGAAAGCTTCGCTGTGATCTAAAATCCAATTCCAAGAACCTTGAGACCCCGCGTTCTCTCGCGAGAGATAGAGATTTACCTGCATTTGAGGTAACAGCCGCGGGCGCATCGATGCCGCCATACACCGTGACGAGAGAGCGCCATTATCGACGCACATTCTCATCGGCAGCGTAGAACAAGACGCTGCCATAGCCATCGTCTTGTATAAACCCTAAAATCTCTCTCATATCCGCAAAGAGTATATTCCCTTTCGGGGTTTTAGGGTATTCACAGAGCAGTGATGGCGCTTGCTCAGTCCGGCGCCAAGAAGGACGACGATCGGGAAGATGATGGTAAGATCCAGTGCCTGTGCTCGTAGATCTTGCGCTTCCGGTTGATTTAGGTCTTGTAGTCCTGCCAGATCTGTGGATCTGAATTCTCGAGTGTGATTTTTGATTTGCAGCGGAGTACTCTCCTTTCTATGGAATCGAGAAGGCGTCGGTTCTCCAGGAAGCTCGTGTCTTCAATGATCCTCAGCTCGACACGAGGAGATGTGCGCAGGTGACTCTCCATCGTCTATTTTTCCAATGTTGCTTAAGAAATTCTCTTTGAAGGTCATCACAAAGCTTCTCTACTTGCTCAATCAAGGAGAAACGTTCACAAAGGTGATCTATCCAGTGGTTTTCTTCTGTTCCTTTAATCCTTTGCTTTGTTCCTACAGACGGAAGCGACCGAGGTTTTCTTCGCGGTCACTAAGCTCTTCCAATCGAAAGACGTTCCTTTGAGGCGAATGGTTTATTTGATGATCAAGGAGGTCACTCCATCGTCCGACGAGGTAAGCTCGTGGAAACGCCTTTGGAAAGGTTTTTTAAGACATAGCTTTGCTGACAGGTTATCATAGTCACAAGCTCGCTGATGAAGGACATGAGCTCTAAGACGGATCTCTACCGAGCAAATGCAATAAGGGTGCTTTGTAGGATTACCGATGGTGCTCTCCTGGGTCAGATCGAGAGATACCTCAAGCAGGCCGTGGTTGATAAGAATCCGGTTGTTGCTAGTGCTGCTATTGTCAGTGGCATTCATCTTCTACAGGTGTGGTTGCATTCTTCCCAGGTTCATTTGGATTTAAGTTTTTTTTCAGACGAATCCGGAGATCGTAAGAAGATGGAGCAACGAAGTGCAAGAGGCCGTTCAGTCCAAGAACCCTCTAGTGCAGTTCCATGCTTTGGCACTTCTGCGCCAGGTAATTACTATATTTGTTTCTGGTAATGGAAATTCTGAATCTTTATGCAGATTAAACAAAACGATCGTCTTGCTGTTAGTAAACTTGTGACTAGCTTGATTCGAGGGACGGTTCGCTCTCCTCTCGCACAATGCCTTCTTGTGCGCTACACGAGCCAGGTATTTAAATCAACATTATAGCCGTCGGTTGTATACTGAATTAGTGATGGTCTGTAGGTGATCAAGGATTCGGCTGGAAATGCTCCCGGTGGAGATCGACCCTACTATGAATACTTGGAGACCTGTTTGCGTCATAAATCAGAAATGACACAATATGAAGCTGCGAGAATCATAACCAATTCGAGTACAGTCACCGGTCGGGAGTTGATGCCAGCCATCACGATGCTGCAAATGCTGTTAACGTCGTCGAAGCCTGTCCATCGGTTTGCTGCCGCAAGAACTTTGAACAAAGTAAGTGGCATCAACAAGTCGAATGTTTGTTTGATGATCCTTTGGTTCTTTTTTTCCAAACAGGTGGCCATGAGCCATCCCCTTGCAGTCACCAACTGCAATATCGACATGGAAAGCTTGATCAATGATCAAAACCGCAGCATCGCAACACTGGCCATTACGACGCTGTTGAAAACGGGAAATGAAGGTGGCGTTGATCGTTTGATGAAGCAAATTACGAGCTTTATGTCCGACATCGCGGACGAGTTCAAAATCGTTGTTGTGGAAGCAATTCGGTCGCTTTGCCTAAAGTTTCCACAAAAATATCGGTCTTTGTAAGTGTCCTTTCCCTTTCGCTCATTTGCTGATACCGTAACTTTCCAGGATGAACTTCCTTAGTGGCATTCTTAGAGAAGAGGGAGGATTCGACTATAAAAAGGCAATCGTTGACTCGATCTTAATTCTGATCAACGAAATTCCAGACGCCAAAGAAAGCGGGCTCGTGCATCTTTGTGAGTTTATTGAAGACTGCGAGTTTACGTACCTTTCTACACAGGTTGTGCCCATTGCTATCTTGAAACAGGATGTCTTTTATCAAGATTTTTTTTCAGATATTGCATCTTCTTGGGGAAGAGGGACCAAAGACCTCCGATGCTAGCAAGTACATTCGCTACATCTACAATCGTGTAATATTGGAAAATGCTACTGTTCGAGCAAGCGCTGTCAGCTCGTTAGCGAAATTTGGACTTGCGGTTGACTCTCTTCGGGTAAGTGGCCAAAGTTTCTTTAGATGCTTACGCGTGTTCGCTGCAGCCGCGAATCGTCATATTGCTCAGGCGCTGCGTATATGATAACGATGATGAGGTAACAATTCAACATTGTTTGGTTCAAAATAAACAAGGGTTGAGATTCAGGTGCGTGACCGTGCAACTATGTACTTGACTGCACTTGAAGGGGACCAAGCCGAAAGAGAAGAAGCGAAGCATTCTCTTTTTGATCCACTAAAGATACCTCTAGCCAACTTGGAAGCGAGTCTGCAGTCTTATGTAAGCAACACAGTGTCCAGTTTGTACCATCAGTAACATTTTTACGCAGGATCCAAGCGAATCGCCATTCGACATACACTCAGTGTCAGTGGATGTTAAAGCACAGCCAGTCGTGGACAATAAGATGAAGAAAACTGGAAGAGACTCTGCTCCTTCCGTTCCTGAAACCACCAGCGCGGTTGTTGCTCCAACAGTTTCTCATGAAAAAAGATTGAGCTCCATCCCGGGATTTTCTGGTTTTGGAAAACTTCTCACGGTAATTTTTCTTTCTGGACTTTGTTATTATATATGGTCATTAATTATATACGTTGTTCTTGCAGTCGTCGCAACCTACTGAGCTAACTGAGCCGGAGACTGAGTATTCTGTGAATGCTGTAAAACACATATACGCCGAGCATGTTGTGTTCGAATTCAATTGCACGAACACAGTAGCGGAACAAGTTCTAGAAAAGGTGAGAAACTGCGACCAATCAATTAACAAGTTTCTGACGCGCTATTACTCCAGGTTACTGTGGTGGTCGACGGCTCAGAAGCAGAAGATTTCCAGGAGCTTCTTTCTCGCTCAATCCCATCTCTACCATATGGATCGCCCGGCCAAGCCTACGTGGTTTTTCAAAAGCCAGAAGGCGTCTCCACTGGGAAATTTGCGAACACCATGAAGTTCGTCTTGAAAGAGGTAACACTTAACGCCTTGTCCCAGTACAAACTTAACTCCTGTGATTTTCTTTTCAGGTGGATCCAACGACAAACCAGCCAGAGGATGAAGGCTACGACGATGAGTACCAGCTCGAGGATCTCCAGGTAAACCGAGCTTGTGCGTTTGGCGACTCGGTGGAAAACTCTTTCCTTTTTTCTTTCAACACAGGTGACAGCCGCGGACTACTTCGTGAAGACGAGCGTGGTGAGCTTCAAGAGCACCTGGGAGAGCCTCCAGAGCGAGTTCGAGGCCGAGTATGGGCTGGGTCCGCGCGAGAGCGTCCAAGAGGCAGTCCAGGCGGTGATTGGCATCCTCGGAATGCAGCCGTGCGAGGGGAGCGAGGTGGTGGCCGCCAACGCGAGATCTCACGTCTGCTTCCTGGCCGCAAAGTTTCTGGGAGAGATCCAGGTGTTGGTGAAGCTCGCGTTTGGAATGGACGCGAAGAAGGCCGTGATGATGAAACTCACGGCGCGCTCCGACGACGAGGGAGTGTGCTCCATCGTTCACGACATTATCGGCAATGCTTGATTTTTTGGTTGATTAATCCATATCCAGAATATTCTTATTCTAGGGTCTTAGAACCCTAAACCTCCAATCAAGATGAGTGGGATGGGAACTCTGGCTTGTAAATGTACTGAATCATGAGGATCTAGACAAGTCTAGACAATGGACTACACCAATAATAAGGGGTTGAGTAGCTATGACATTTAGCTTTGCAAAGATTTGGTTTGCTAATGACTATGTTTTCTTTGGATTATGCTAGGTAACATGTCACACAACACTTCAAAAGTGTTCACAAGTGATGATGAGGAACAAAATAGAAGGTTAAGAGACAAACTACCATTATAATGACAAAATTGAGAGGTTACCTAGAGACCTTTGGAAAATCTTTTATTTATACTATATTACTATAAATAAGAAATTATCTGCATATATATATTCTACTTTACTCTTCTGGAAGATGAAAAGTGATGGTGATAGAACTTTTATTGAGTGAGTATAAATTGTTATAAAAATTTGAAGTTCCCATAGAATCAATAGCATAGTTGCTAACAATTATGACAAAAACAAAACCCAAAGTCATGATATAAGTATAAATCAATTACAAAATATTGATAAACCAATTACAAACTTTATATGCAACTACCAAATGCTCGAACCAAATTTAAATCTATTACATTGAACCACAGCAAAGGATTTTAGAAGTCCACAAAATGCCATTGCAATAAATAATATATTTTATCTCTAAATTTTCTTATTAGCTACCACTATTAATTCAGATTTATAACTATCAATAAAATTTACTTTTGCATTTTCTCTTCAGTCAACTTTTGAAATTTATATTATCTTAGACATATAACTTTTGTTCTAATCCAACACCACATATGAAAGGTTAGACTCACTTTTTTTGTTTTTTATATTTTCTTTATCCTCTTCTCAAAGTTTTTTTTTTTAAAGCATTGGCTTAGTTCAAATTTGTGGCATTTATCCTCACTTTGCCATATATATTCCATTATCATATTTTTTGGTCTTATTATATTAGGGCTAACATTGGGACCAAATATTTTTATTTAAACTTATTTTCACTTATCTTTGGTTTACACTTATTGTTACTCTATCATCAAGGGTAAGCTTCTATTTGTCCCCTTTACCCCCTCCAAAAAAAAAAAAAAGTTTTGAAATATTAGAGCAAAAAGAAGAAAGCAAGAAAAATTGAGAAAAAAATATTATAGAAGAAAAAAAAGTGAATAAAGAAGTATTAGAAGAGGAGTTTTCAACAATTGTTAACTAAAAAATGGGAAATAATAAAAAGAAAATATATTTTGTGAAGGC